ATATTGTGCTGCCATGGATTGCGAAGAAGAGTATCGAGTGTACAAAAATCTGTGAGCTGGCGTCGCTTTTGTTTTTACACAAAGTGAAACTTGCCAATGAAGAGGCCATTTTGACGAACAACTGGAAATTTTTCGATGAAGGTGATGGTATCCACATAATTGAAGGATGCTTCTTTGCTGTGTTGCGCAAATATAAAGAAGAGAACGACATGGTGCCTGAATTTCGAGACATAGTCGAGGCATTGGACGGAGACAATCGGTTCGCATGGCCCAATAATGATTATTTTGGGAATCTTATGAGATATTTATTCCAACAACATGCACGAAATGCCATAACCAACCTCACCACACACGATGACAAACGACTTCGTGAGTACCTGAGATTGTTGGTGTGGGAACACAACGTCGACAATCTGGATCCAAACGACGTATTTGATGAACATGATGTCAACAATGCAGTGAAGTGGGCCATTGAAAGATACGATTCAACCAGAGGTGATGCGATTAGATTGGACAAACGGAATCGGTTGCTCACTTGTGTGCGAAATATTGGCGGACCAAAAGACGACAACATCGCAAAAGATACAAAAGAGAATTGGTTCGCGACGTTGCCAATGTGGCTTCACATGCAAAAAAAGATCGATGATTATCACAATTGGGTACAAAACAACCTCGAAAATATTCCGGCTGACATTGAGCTTCCCATAATCAAAAATCTTTCAGTATTACCAATTTGCACACATTTACGAAAGAATATTAAAATTGATGCCGATATATTGTATCGAATGATGTGTGAAACCAAAATCATCCCGTTAGATGAGTATGGACGCCAAGTTGATGGTACACATGTCTGTGAAAACAAGGTTCATTATTTCAATGAGATTTTCGACATGAACAAAATCAATGGAATATTGAACGCGAACAAAGAATTTCATTATCATGTTGTAACCGATGGTGTGTCAGCATCGATTTTATACGACGTATCGCGAAATACATTGGAACAGTTGGTGAGCGATGAACTCATAAAAAAGCGTTACGAAGATGGCGTTTACATCTACGAATTGGGAATCGATCCGGGCATGAAAACGTGGAACGCGACCGTTAGACGGCATATCGACTCCGGCAAAGAGGTATGTGTTTGTGATTTCTCAGTATGCATTTCATTTCATCGTGTGATTTATTCCATTCATTTTCTCTCTCTCTCTCTCTCTCTCTCTCACACACACACACACACAGATGAATTTCAAGACCAGCAGTAAGAAATATCATTACCTGACGAAGCAAGGAGTACGAAACCGAAAAGCGAAGCGGTGGACACGTGGGTTTGTCGCCTTTGAACAAAACGATCGAAATGACAGAACCCGTTATCCGCAAATGCCGAGTCCAAAAGGAGAAAATTGGAGAGACTATATAAGTCATCGCTTGAGGATTATGAAGAAAGCCATTGACGTGTATACGAGCGAAAGATACACCCGTCTACGATTTGATAAATATATCGAATCGAATCGAGTATGTGACAAGATTGCTGCCATGCTGGTAAGAACAAAACATAGATCATTTGTTGAATATATTTGATTTGTTAATAAGAAAAATATATTCTTGTGTCCAAATAGACAAATGGTAAGCCTTGCATAATTTTCTTGGGAGCGGCGAATATCTCACCCAACTCGCCGATAAAGATTAAAAAGAACATTCGCTGCCCTGGTAACCGGAAGCTGATTAAAAGTTTTAAGAAAATGCTGGGCAACGTGGTGAAAATGGTGAATGAGTTCCGAACGTCTCGACTGTGTGCACGCTGCTTCGAGCCATTTCCTTTGGAAACATTGGGTCATCGTTTCAAAGTGTGCGAATGGTGTGTGCCAGATAACAACGACTGGCCAGAAGGATTGAAACTACCCGAAAAAATCGTGACGATGAAGAGCAAACGAATGCTGCTATCGGAACGACAAGAATTGCGCGATGCAATGGTTGCGAATCCAAATCAAGCTGTTGGTTTTGTGTCAAAGGTCATTTGTTACCGAAAAAACTGGCGACAAAACGCGGCATACGATGCGGTTAACAACGTTGCTCAGCTACCAGGCATTATTCGCGACGAAAATGTCATCGATTTTACAGAGGATTACATGCTTCTTGATGATGACTTCTATGTCGCCGAAGAGGAAGCCATCCTGAACACTATTTGGCACCGGGACATTGCAGCTGCAAAGCTGATAATGTACAAAGGTAATTTATTCATTGAATTAAAATTGGATTCCGAATGAGAAAGTGATTGAAATTGAAGCATATAATACTATTTTGTTTTAATTAACAAATTTATGTGTGTTTTCTCTTTGTTGTCAAGGCCATTGTGGACTTTTCGGATTTGAGCTGCATCGTAACTTCACCGTTGAACGCCTCGTCTATCCAAGATGGATTCGAATCCACTAACGAGATAGAATTAAGATCGATGAATTTAAAATTTGAAACTAATTAATGTAATAGGATATTATATGTAGCTGGGTCGATTTAGTGACCCAGGTTCTATCGATAGAATTTAGAGGAAAGAATATGTATAGGTTGTTCTCTATCTATTCTATTTGATGTTCATAGAATAGGTATTGAATTCCTATGCCAATATTTTAGTCCTTCGATAATAGTTCATGGATAGATAGAGTACATTCGGGAAGAGTTTTCATGTAAGTATTTATTCACCGCATGGCAATTGGCATTGACTTGACCATAGTTTTTTGTTTGCTTCGGGAAGTCGTAATGCCAATCTCTATGTTTTGTGATTGCTATCAATTGGCATGAAATTTGACCCTCTTTAAATTGAGAACTACCATTTTTTCATTTGCAGATATGAAAAACACCCTAATTGTACCCGACTTACTTTCAAACAACCACCACCAGTATCATGACAATCTAACTCGTCAGTATGGATTTCATTACTCTGGTAATTTCATAATACCTTGACTGAATAAATTGAAAAAATGCCTTTTCTTTTTTTATTAATACATTTTTATCGTAACAAATGTTTAACGAACACCTTTTTGGGTTATTTTTTAAATTCTTAAACAGTAATTGACTCGAATTCTTATTGATTGGGGCAAATTTCGTTGAAATGAATGTGATTAGATGTAGATGTAAGTAGTAATGAGAGAAAATGAAATTAGTTGATTCTATTTGTCGGAGTCCGAATCGGTCATGAGATCGTCTTCATCGTCTGTATTGATTTCATAATCAAGTTCAATCTGCGTCGTTTCATATTCCAACATTTCATCGTCATTTAAATGTGACCCACCTTCAACGAATGATGCAAATCTGCACGAAAAATGAAAATAGAAAATATAATACAGATATAGAAAATATTCACAAAGAAGAAAAAAAAACGTACCGTTGTGGATCTTTCAAACGAGTCATCATTCGCCATGGTTTGCTTTCTGGACTGCTGCAAAATGCTTTAAGATCTTCAAGCGCTTTTGTTGTTTCCAAAACCGATTGGGCATGGAATTCATCGCTTGACAATAATCGTGGCTTGGGCGGAAATCGTCGAATCCTGTTTAAATTCCAAATTAATAAGTGAAAAATGCTTTCAATCAAATGTCTGCCATTTTCAAAGTTCAACAAAAACTTACCAAAATCCTTGAATTTTTCGTAAGAGAGCGAGTGGAAAATAATAGGTGGAGATCGTAATAATCATAATGCTCACCGACGCCTCGCGATAGTTACTCGAAAAGAATATCATAATATTGGCAGCAAATTGAAGACTCCATTTTATTAAATCTTTGCTGCGTTGATTTTTTGGCGGTCCCAATCGATAGCAGATGACGAAACTTAAAAATCCCGTCACAATGACATACCAGAACACATATGTTTGATAAACAAAGAGAATCGTATGCAAATTCTCCACGATCATTTGAATAAAATAGATACCCACAGTCCAACCCCCGATGAGCATTCCATACATGGCCGGTTTCTATCAATATATTAAAGATTTTTCATAAATTTAAAAAAAATTGCCCAATCTTGTGAAATACTTTTTCTTTTACCTTCGGAATTAATTTACTGCTAAAGTAAACGACAACCAAAAATGATGCGAAAACTCCCAAAAAGATGCCAGTAAGGTAGTAAAAAAGTGGCGTTTGACTCAATGTTCTTGCATAGAAGAAAAGAATTAAACCGACACCAAGTAGAATGATTTTTGCAAAGTCGATGCGTACAATGTTCAATTGAATGGTGTAATTGTGCGCTGTTTCAACGCCAACGCATGTTTGATTAAATGGATCGATTTTAATCAATTTTCGTTTACCAACGTTCATCATATTGAATGAAAAAATCGTTCGTTGATTTTCATAGTGGGTTCTAACTTCGTCCGGCGATTCGCCATCAAACTGTACAAAATCATCGTTATCGATGTTTATGCGAAATCTTAAACTCTGAAATATTGCCGCAATTGATTTACTCTGGCCGCGAAAACAATAAATTTGTAAATCCGGTTCGAATGAACCAAATCGTTTGTCCGACACATAAGTTTTGGTATCACCCGGCTCAAGGTAATGCACTGCAAAACGAAACAAAAATTGTTAGTAACGATTTGACGTTTTAAGGTTATGTTGAGTCATCTAAAAAAAGGTAAAAACTTTTACCGCTCGAATGCGAAGCACATATTGGTATCAGAAACCAAACAAAATACAGAAAATTCATGTTGAAACACAAATAAATCGTTCAATATTTGATTAAAAGTACAATTTGAAAACTAAAAAAAATGAACCAAACTGCGATTTTTCATGTTTTTTGTATATCAAGAGCTACTACTTGACTCTTCATATTTACTCGACTGTAAACGATGCAAGCGAATCGGTTGAACTGTCAGAATGCGAGTTTTTTTTTCTTCTTCTATTAGCACAGCTGTCAAATTCGCTGCAACTCAATGCAGTGGCAATATTCTATTTAAATATGAATGCAAATGATAAAAATAACCTAGACTTTATGTACTTTTTGTGCAAATTCTTTTTATTGATTTCTATTACATGATTTTGAGTTCAAAAAAATGTCCCAGAGATAAATGAACACCAAATAAAAAAAAAAATGAAAATTTTGTTCGGAAAAATTGTAAAAGCTGCCTACAAACGAATTTATTGAGTTCTTAACTTGTCTGAACGTCCACGATTACAAATAAATCTCTTAAATTTTATGGCAATACACAGCTCCACATGAATAAAAATCAAACATTCACTGTCCAGTGTTCACATATTAAATGTCCATTTGGTCTCTTAAAATTGAAGAGCACTTAATCCAATATCTTGTATGTTTTATTCGATTGAAATCACAAACTGTATTCACGCGTGAGCGAATTGATTTATTTCGAATTCGTTGATTTGATCATTTGCGAATGTTGTAAATAATCGTAAACTTTTCCTGCATAATACGGATGATTTCGTAATGAAGCAATGACACCATCCTTATTTACGAACGTTTGTGGATCGCGTTCATACAAAATCGGTTGGTTTTTAAGCGACGTCATTTGGCCATTGAGTGCACTCAATATGGCATTGCCAGCGCATAAATCCCACTTTTTAATCTCCGTCAAGTGAACGTAATTGGTTGCATTACCAAACACAACTTGCAACACTTTATAACCAGCGCCGCCCGCCAACTCGATTGGTGTATTCTCGCCAAATGACATTTTTATCAAATGTTCAACATCGCCTGAATGTGATCGAGATGCGATAATTTTTGGATTTTTTACAGCTGCCATTTTGTTGACTGGTTCATCTTTTACTTTTCGCAGCGATGCTGAAACAGCAACATCTTTCCACGCCCAAAAGGTTTTCTGCGAAAATGGATTGTGTATAACACCAATGACCGGTTCACCGCGAATCGCCACGCAAACCATTGTCGTAACATATTGGAATAGATTTTCTGTGAAAATCAAACAAAAGAAACTATTAATAAATCTGTCTTTTAATGGTTGGATTTCAACTGTTTACCTGTATATTCTTGAGTTGCATCGAGTGGATCGATCCAAATGGTGACATCATCAGCATTAACCAAGAAATCATCTTGCAGATGAATGTCTTCATCGATAACGGTTGGATCCAATTCAAAGTGGCTTGTCTCCGAACAGTCAGCATGAACATCTTCCTCCGAAATGATGGTCACTGTGCTAAACAGTCGTTTGAGTCCCTGTTCCATGACACAATGCGATTTGAGATCGGCATTTGTAAGCGGATCATTGGCACCTTCTTTTGTACGGCCTTTAGTTTTTGCATGAATATTATCAGCATCGGCCACCGAAAGCACTTCTAAACCACCATATTGAGCTGCTTGTATGCTACCGATCAATAATTTCCGTAAATCAACCTCATTTGGATTTCGTATGAGAAATCCATGCGATCGAAAACGATGTGAACCCATTGAATTATTGAATAACAAATAATAAAACACAATAACTACACATACACTTAAAATTAAAACGCCACATTTGTTAATTTTTACTGCACCGCTCAAATTCATCGTTATACCCAATGAGACTCATACAGATTGATAGTGGGAGAAGAAGAAAAAACAATATATAATTCGGTTCACGCTTAACTTTATGACTAAAACCAATGAGATTCTTTTTGTCTTATCTGTTTCATTTGTGGCTAAAAAATCAAACAGACACGTCGAATCATGTTTACATTACGATCTGACGACGTCTTTTTTTATTAAAACTTATATATCTTTATTGTCTCTGAACTGTCACACACATACACGCTCAGTGTCGATTCACACTCTGTATTTGTATCACTTGTGTACAATGATAGCGAAATCAAATGTCAAACACGAGCGAGATATATATTCTTTTTTTGAATTGTTTTTGACCGTTTTTTAATTTTATTTTTATTTTTGACTTTGATTGATGGCAAATTATCGTCGGAAGTTGTTACGCAAAATTCATGCTCCATGATTGGGGATTTTTCGCAGTCCAATAATAAATCAAGTTATTATTCAATATCAACCAATTTCATGATAATAATAAATATGAAAAATATATACATTGAGGTAATAAGTTATGTTGACTATAGGTTGCTATGGTAACGAAAAGTGTTTATTGCTTTGGAACAAAACAAATAAGGTTATAGTTGTCGATATCATTTCTTAGTGAATTTATTATTAATTCAAAAAAAAAAAAAACAAATAGAAAATTGCAGAATAAAAAAAAACAGTATTGAAAATGGCGGAAGCGATCTCCGTGGAAAGTACCACAGTGAAAGATAATCGAGTTGTATTTTTTGAACATCGTAATCGTATCATAGGTACTTAAAGTGATACTTTTTTTGCAGAAGATTTCTTCAAGATTTAAATCTTTCAATTTTGATTTCAACGTGTCTTTAAAATCTTTTAAACTCAGCAATTTGACATTAGAAAATGTCCGCCGCATTTAAATCTTATTTAAAATTGAATTCTCTTCTTTCTATTTTGAATCCACAGAAATTCCGAATAGTTCAAGTTTGTCGCTACAAATTATTTTATTCGTCAATGTTTACCTGTCGCCAATTTGGATTCTGTCTTCATTGCAGTTTTTTTACATGCATGCCTTTGATGAGTCAGGCAAACATAATACCATCATTTTGGGTGCGGCTCTATTTTTAATTTCAGCTCCCCTGGAAGTTGGCCGCCTGTACTTGGGTTATTCCGGGAACTTAAATGAAAAGGTTCCATTTTTTTTTCTCAAATAAAATGTGAAAATATTTCAATTTGTTGTGATATTCATTTATTTTCAAACACATTACATTCTTTAACAGATTGCCGATTTTGCTGGATTCTTAATTCTATCGCTATTCATACAGCAACCAATTGCAATTTTCTTTTTCTATATCGTGCATAAAGCGAAAGTGTTTTGGCTTCAGATCTATTTGCAGCTGTTGGTCGCAGCTTTGATATTCTTTGAAATCGTTATTGGCTACATTTCAATGCGACGCATGACCCGTTTAAAGGCACAACAATTCCATATTCTAATGTTAATCGAGCAAAGTAATAAAAATCGATAGACAATCACACATAAATAAAATTAATCATGGTAACAAAAATAAAATTATCTGAAATGAAAAACATTCGCACAATGGATCGTCGATATCGTGAGATTAGAACTAATTGCAAATCATCAAATTGACTTCGGACAAGTGAACTCGCATTGATTCCAAGAACTGGTCCAGTGCTTGCACATTCTCGCGATGAACGTCACCGGTGCCAATCAATTGCGAGCGATTTGGTAACACAGTGTAGATGAGCTGAAATCGGATGGAGAAAACAATAAAATGATAAACTGAACTGGTTAATCAGAGTCATCAAGAACATACCGAAAAAGATTTTTGGATGAGCCAGCTATGGTATTGCTTTAGAGTCACTGCATAAGCAGCTTCAATATGCTTTTTCAGATTTTCTTCGCAATTTTTATCTGCGACAACGTATGAAAAGAATTTTTCGATCATTTCGAGCGCTCTGCAAAAAAAATTCAAATTAGTGAAGGAATAAGGAAAGTAGATTTTTTTCTTATTTTTAAGCAAGAAACTTGAATTTAAAGAAATATAATGTATGGCGTGGATGCCTACCTTTTAAGCCATGTCAATGCATCTCTGGCACAAATTTGTACTTTGTCTTCATTGGATTTGAGCATATCGTCCAGAAACATATAGTCAATTTCATTTTGTACGTAAATTTTAAATAGTTTCTGCGAATAAATAATCAAAATAAAAAGAATTGAAAATTGATGTTGAAAAGTGCATCAATTATTCAAATATTTATCTTACATCGATATTTCCATTCATATCATAAACAACAGGTTTGAAAAGCTTGCCAAAGCTCTCTGAAAGTATGTAAAAAAAATGTTTCCAATAAAATGATATCAATCCAAAAAAAACTTCGTCAAAATAATAAATGTGATTAATTTCTTTTATGATTTAAAATATCTCGCAAAATTCAATGATTGGAGCAAGTTAATCAAAACAAAAGTGCGTCAGTCAATGTAATAATCATTCTCATATGCTAGTGTATCGATGGAAACCGTTGTCAGAAAGAAGATATTCGGGTCAAATACACAGAGTGCAATGAAACCCAACAAGTGCGATCTATAGTAATCACCTTGATATAGAAATCCACAAACCGATTTCATAGCTAGAAAAATATAGACCGAAATAGCAACGGTGAACGGTGTTGAACATGCATCAAAATTGATTTGATTATTAAAATAGACAACGCAATCAAATAGCCAACACAGAAAAGAAATAAATCAAGTTCATTCCAATCTTCCTTTCTTGTATTAGAAAAACAAATCGAAAAATCAATTAATTTTCATGAAACCATCGAACTCAAGAAATCTGAGCAAGAAAAAATCAGTGACATTTAAGAAAAAATGAAAATTGAATTAGGTGTCTTACAATCAAGCACATTCTTAATCAACTATGTATTTTGATGAGTCGAGCAAATGCTATTTTTAAATACATAAAAAATGTTGTTTTCAATGCACTTCAATGAAATGATATTCCAGTGTCAAAATTAACAAAAAAAAAAAAAAACGAAACATGCACACAAAATTGCACTTACCGATAATGCTTACAATTTCACGGGCTGCATTTAAAAATAGTATGGTTTTAACTTTGCCCTGTTCGTCGATTGCTTGAAATCCCTGTAGTTGCGTGAACATAATGCGTGGCTGTTCAGTTTTTCCCATTTTACCATTCATTTCTTTCGTTTCGTTTGAATCTTCTGTTTGCTCTGATATCCGAATGAAAATTTAAACCACCAAACCAACTTGATATATAACAATTTTGAACAACTACACAACACTCTGTTTCGACGTCTGAATTGGGAATGTTACCGCGCACCGTCGATTATACATTGAATTCACTGCAATAAGCCGATCAAAAACAAATGTCTTTGGTTATTGTAATGTGGGAGCGTGCGTATATACTTGTGTGAAAAAAAATGTAAACTTTTATCTATGCTTTTTAGTATCTTTGTTTATCACTACCACCTTAATGTCAAATCGTGTCAAAATGATGAGTTTTTTAGTGTTAGAAAGTTAAAGATAAAAGACTTATCACCGACGAGATAGACGTATCGTAAAACATTTATGATGATGTCGACTAGGTAGGCGAATCGAGACAGAGAGAAAAAGGGAAAAAGTGACCAATCCAATTGTTATGCACCTCGATTCTAATGTACACCAAGGAAAAGCAAATGATTGTCTGACACTTAAACCATGAAACTAATAATTGATATTTCGTTATCCAAATCGCTTATGAGACACATTTTATGAGTCGTTATTTTGTCATCACACATCTAATCTAGCGTACAATCGAATGTCTAGCACTCATTATGAGCTCCATTTCATAATATGACCATTTTTATCTATGGCAATCAAATCATAATTTTGTTCAATTACATTGCCGGCAATTGTAAAATTGAATGGGTCAGCGACGGCAGCGGAGGTGGCAGAGCAAACATCAAATCGATAGTATTGCATGCACATTCCGCTTTCTTTGGACCGTATTTCAACCAATGCCAATGGCAACATCGATTCGATTATCTTTCGTTTGCTATCATATTGAATGCTTGACGATGATGTTTCCGTTTCATCAGTTTGATTAAACCATTTGTGGGCATTTAACATGATGGCACAATTTTCGGTTAGAAATGTTAAATCGTCATTACGTCGACAGTGATAATTGGCTAGAATTGGATTGCTTTTTTTTATTGTAGTTAAACGTCGATTGTTTGTTATGCCGCCCGTGCTGATGTCTTGTTTCAAATTATTTGAACACTTTGATATCTGTCGCCGTGGTAAATCACGTGGATTTTTTTCTATCGTAAACATGCGATTTACATAATCAATATCGTTGCCCATAACACCGTCGCGTGAATGTCCCAAGTCGAAAATATGACCAATTTCATGGGTCAATGAACCCAATGCAGTAGCATAACAACCACCAATGGAATTCCGTCCATTGCTATCATTCATCAACAGTTTACCGTCGACAAGTGTATCATCTTGAAAACATCGTTGAATTTCAGCGAATTTCATTGGCCATGCATGCATTGTGCCACTGCCAAAAAGTGCCACATCTCCGCAACCGAGAGCTGTATTCCCTTTAATCGTACCATTTTCACACAATGTACTGGCCAATATGCCGAAATACTTGTACCGATGTTGGGTGTCGTTCTCTTGTGCTAGAATCTCTTTGGCATGATGTTTCCACAATTGATTTTGATCCCATTGTCTTGCCTCTGCAATCGATAAACTACTGTAGAACGGTACACATTTGACAAATTCGAATGTTTTACGTGCGAATCCATTTTTGGTCATCATTTCGGCGTACAAACATTGCACCATTCGAATGGCCAAATTGATTTTTTCACATGCACATTCGATTGAATTGTCTGCATTGTTTTTTGTTTGAAAATGACCATCATGATTTTGACAAATGATATAAAAAATACGCAACAAATAGTGTGGATTTTTACGTTGATTGAAAACCAATGCGATTGCATTTGTAACACAACAAAATTGAAATGTGAGATGATTCATTCCAGGCGCCAGTTCAACGGCTACTTTGAACTTGCCGTCAGTCGTAATTTCGGCACTTTCAATGCAGCTCGTTATATTTTCATTGTCAATTTGCAGATGAGTCACACCCATGCGATGATTATAATTGATAATTTGGCCACGAATTAAAACAATCGAATACGTGAATTGATCGTTTGGTTTTACATTCAAAAATTGAATCACTGGCCCTTCACGGGCATTGTGCTTGCCACAAAACATTCTTTACAAACTTTTTGAATGGCAAAATTTATTCACATTTTTGGGAACGTGGTAAATTTTTGATAGGAAGTTAAAGGGAAAAAAACTATGTCAACATCTAATCGCAGCAATTTGTTTAATTTGCTGATCTAATTTTGTGAAATATGACACACACAATAACAATGCGTACGAGAGAAGAAAAAAAAACAACTATCGTAAATAATGTGACGCATGAATCCAAAATGTTGTGATTTCGCCTCTCTTTAATATAGAGACAACTGTCAAAATGGCTCTGATATCGCGTGTGGCGAGTGAATTGACTGTTTCTTTTTGTCATATGCGGCAGTAAAATAATGCAACGAGAGAGAGTAATATGACGCAGAGCATCGACGGTTTTTGTTTTCATACCTACAGGCACATCAGTGTGTATCAAATTTAAGGCGTAGCTAAGTCAACTGTGTTGCCAATAAAGTCACCGCTTTTATTTTTATTTTCATAATAGTTAAAATATTTTATGATTTTTTTCTTTTGAAAATCGATTAAATGGCAGCGATAAGGCGCGTTTGGATTTTCAATTGGCTTATTAGTCACTTTATTGAGGCATGCACATTTGTTTACCGTATGGAAATCAGACACTTTTTCAATACAAAGTGCAAGCTATTGATCGGCAATTCGAGTGACGTTTGGTCCGTAAACAATGAACATGCAACGCACTTTTTGCTTGCATGGATAAAATGAGTTCTCTCTCCCGCTCTCCCTGTCTCTCTCAACGTACTTCTTCAATCGACAATAAAACAAAGAAGAATTGGAATCAGCGGAAAGGAACACCGTTTCTAAATCAAAACAGTCAATTCAAGGTTGCGATTATAATTCCGTTTCGAACATTATTTGTTGATGCGTTCGGATCACTTGTTATGAAAATGGTTACCCGTGCCAGCGGCGCTTTCCAAATCGCAATTCGATTTAAATTATTTGCAATGAGCAAAATAGAAGCAGAAATAACGTTATTATCTTGTTGCTAAAGTGAGTTTGGGCTACGATCATGGCATTCCCAGTTTTTGGTTTCATTTTAATTGAATACAATCAACGGAAAAATATTTAAATCTCTATCATAAGCTACTATCACCAAATGAGTGTGTTTGCAAATGCTGATTTTTGTTCACTATAGGCCATCCTAATCGCATTTTTACTGTTCCTATAAATTAGATTAAAAACTGAACTTTGAACATGAATGCAAATTTGATGATTTTGCTAGGTGTCAAATTTGCGTTTTTTATTAAGTTGTCTAGCGAGTAGTGTAGACTATCTATACGTACAAAAACATCATGACTGATATGCGACTGCTTTTTTTGTGTAAATTACAGATTGCCTGAAAGGCTGGGCAGATAATTGAAATCCGTACAGAAATAACTGCCACGTTCGCACAAATAAAATGAACAGAGTTGTGAATTTATTTTCTATCATTTCATCTCAACGTTGCAATCAACGACACTATAACAACATTGCGATACATATTGTTCGGCGTGGCATACCAAACAATGTGTTAACTTCAGCACACATCAATTTCGAACAGTCCCAAATCTCATTTGCAATATCAGTAATAGCGCTCCCATTTTTCCTTAAAGCCGCTTAAAGCATATTTCCATATCTTGTTCTATTTTTTCTCACGTATTACACATGCATCTGTGATACTTGTTTACTTCATGATTTATTGAATGGATTATCAACAAAGTAAGAGAGAGAGAGCTGTAGTTCAGGGTAACAAGGCCTGAATAAATGCACAATGTAAATCTATTTCAATTTTAGAATGGAATAAACTTAGATTGACCGATTTAAATACCATTTTAATTGTTTTCGCTCCTCGGAAACTAACTCAACGATAAGATATCAATAATTATTTATAATCTCATTTTTTAGCAAAATTCTCTAAATAGTTATTTTTGCACAGATAAAATACAAATTTTCAATTTTACATACACTGCAAATGAAACAACACCACCCGAAACGAACGTGTCGTGCTCCATACTGACGAAAATCTTTCAATTATCGCTCTCATTAAGTACATGGTTATCATGCAACAGTTTCATAATGATGATGTTTCTTAACCGCTTCTTGAAATGCGAAAATGTGTCCAAAATATGATTTACACAGGGTTTGTTTTTCAATAAACCAAAGAATAGCAATGTCAAGGTCCTTATTCATCTTTATCAAATCAGCTGTGGTTTTATACTCATAAAATTTAGTTTAAAGCGATAACGTCTAATTTCCAAAAAAAGCTACGTTCAAACGTTGTTTGAATACGAAAAAAAAATCATTATGCTTCAATTTATGAGCAGCACCAATGACGATTGTCCAGTAATCAGTTCAGTTAAGTTCATTGTTCCGTTGAATACATGTTACGCGTGTGACGAAGATGTAACCAAAATCAAATTGAAAATGTTCAATTAAAGAGTGTTAACACTCTCGATAGCCGTACAACCCAAAAGTTGAGAAGATCAACAGCCTATCGATGCATTCATTCACTGTGTTATATCAAGTGTCGAAAAAAAAACGGTTCAAAATGAAATAAAAAATGTGAATGCACTTGGGGCCGGTTCAAATTTTAAAAACTCGTAAAATTATCTTCAATGGTTTTTGTTGTTGCTTTTGCCGCTGTCCGATTACCAAATTTAATGATGCCCCTTTATCGGTGGAGTTTTATTCATTTTTGGTTAATTGATTGAATTATTGCACTGGTCCATATCAATTGGTGGCGCGTGTGAGATAAACAACAAAAAAACACAGCCAATGTGAATCTCACACCAGACTGTTTATAGGAGAACAAAATTGATACTAAAATTAACATTTTTGCATTGTCGTTTTCGAGAAATCCAATTCAGGAACAAATGCCAGTTGCTTAAAATCGCACATTTTCATACTGCTATTATTATACAAATATTATGTATAGTGGCATTAAGTCACTCGATACGATTATTTGCTCCACTGTTTAATAAAAGGGAAGATAAGACTGACAGTCTGACAATATCGTGGCTTTCAATTGAAATGTACAAAAGGTGACATTCTAATTCGTTTTAAATCGAACACGTGCATTCCTCAGCACAAAAAAAAAATGAAATAAAACCAAAATTCACGACGCACATTTTTCAATTACCGCCTCTGCGAAGATGAGATTAAATGCTGTAAATAGAGAAAAACCTCCAATGGCGCAGACAAACAATATTATATCATCTGAGCAAATTCAATTATTTCAGTTGAAAACAGGCATACAAAAATGTAATGGATGACATAAAAACAATATTTTTTTTCTATAAATAGGTATTTGCGATAATTTAGTCATTTTTAATTATTTTATTTACATCATCTTTTTTTGTCGATAATTTGTCCGTTAAAATGCCACCCAAATTGATTTATCAACGAAATTGTATTGGTCGAAGCTTTTGGAACGGTTTTGTTACCAGAAAGTGGAATTATTAGCTTTCAACTCAGTCAGTGGACACAAAACATACATGAACGTCATCAATCACATCCAATCACTTCGAATCTTTATTTCCTACAATGTTTGTATCTCGTGATTTGCATTCCAATGAAAATAAAAACAAATGTCTTTGTGAATTTTCCTTTCACAATTTATGCAAAAATTGAGATAATTGATCGATAAGATCAATTTATCTCGTTTTTCCTATCATTGAAAATGTTACCTTTTTCTATTATCACTCTTTCTCTTATCGCCCTTTTTCCCTTTCCCTGTAAAGGCCGGAAAATGTATAATAAGGCTAGAAACGAAACCAAATAAGGAAGAAAAACTGTATGAGCTATTTTTAGCTAAATTTTCGCTCTGATTCATTTTGTAAATCGAAAATATTAATGCGAAAATACAATGTAGTGCAATAATGACTTTTTTTTAATCATCGCCAATAAATTAAATTAGAAAGATAATCATCGATGCGAGATTAATTTTTGATGCAATATTTTCGTTGGGAATTAACAATTTGAAAAATAAAAACAATAAGCGTAGACTTTGCGTCGTAATAACCATTAATGCAATATATGAACATTTCTTAGGCGCTAAAAAGAAATAAAAACGCTTGCAAACAGAGTGAAGATTATTAGTTGTCATGCGATAACTGCAATTATATGAGGTTTTGGTTTCTGTTTTCAATTTGGATTCATGTACACGCATATCAGTGCCAATTGTTTTTCTTCTCTCTTTGCCCATTAAAAATTTATTAATAATAAAATTTATACAAAAATAGTTGGATTGCTTTGCATTGCACACAAATCAAATGGTTCTTTATCATTATCATTATTTCCCATTTCCAATAAACTATACACTAAAGACTAAACTAAATCAATTTTGATGAGTTTTTTCCGTGTAGTGTTATGATTAGCGATATGCCATGAAAACGTATAATTTGTACCACATATTTTACATGCATTTTCAATTACGGCCATTACGAATGATTTTTCAATATCACACGAAAAATTAAAATCACCATTAAGATTCTTTATCAAAGAATCAATCCATTAAATGAGCAAAAATGTTGTAGTGATCATGTTGTCGAATATTTCTTCGAATTTTTCATTGGCCTTATTTTCACTAATTATGCGCGACAGAGAATGAAATACACATGGATCGGTTCACGTATGCTTATTTTTAGATACATCTATTCACATTACGCTACACTGTAGTAACGCGAATGCTGCCCACTAGACGCGACTGTGTAGCGCAACAAGCACGGGGTAACGTGGCCGAGCGGTCTAAGGCGCTGGTTTAAGGCACCAGTCTCTTCGGAGGCGCGAGTTCGAATCTCGCCGTTGCCAAAATATTTTTTCCATGCTATTATTCTTTTTTGTTTTTTATATTTTACACTGTAAGGAGTTTCATTGATACATAAAATTCACATGTTTCGAAATAAGTAAAAATATATACCATTTTATTGGTTGTTCAGATTACACAATTCAAAATATGCTGAGCACGAGTTATTGTTGAAATTCAACAGCTGAATGTATATTTGTTATTCAACGTACTTCGAATGTATTTAAAACAAATTTTAAAATTATTCTATGAAAGAAATTAATAATTAAGGAGTACATATTTTTAAAAAATGAAATTTGAAAATGTAATTTCATTTAACTCAATGATGATTATATAAATTAAGTTTAATTTCATTCTAATGTCTTTCCTCAAATCAACGAGAACTTTGCGCCGCTATTGAACAGCTTAGAATTCATATGTCAGGATGGCCGAGCGGTCTAAGGCGCCAGACTCAAGATTAATCGTCTTGCTCATTAAAAGTGAGTCTTCTGGTCCACTTCTGTGGGCGGGAGTTCGAATCTCCCTTCTGACAATATTTTTTTTGTTTTTTTTTTTACTTTTCTATTTTCATGCATTTTGAATATAAAAAGGAAGTATTCGAATTGCTGATAAAATCAAATTGTTAATTATTTTCATAAATTGTGTAAAAAAGTTATTTGAAATGTAAACATATAAAACATCATTAGTTAATGAATTTTCACGTGACAATTCAGTACTTATATACGAAAAATATTTGGGAAAAAAGTAACAATAAAAAAGTTATAAAAAAAATGATGAAAAAAATGTTTGTCAGAAGGGAGATTCGAACTCCCGCCCACAGAAGTGGACCAGAAGACTCACTTTTGATGAGCAAGACGATTAATCTTGAGTCTGGCGCCTTAGACCGCTCGGCCATCCTGACATATGAATTCTAAGCTGTCCTATGTCAATGCAAAGCCGTCGTGGATTGAATGTTGAACAAAACTACAAAAGATAACAGTTAATTGTTGCACAAAAGAACCATACGATTTATTATAATCCATGTTTATATGAGAAAATATCTTTTACGTACAGAATTAAGTATTACATAAAATGAAAGATATTTGTTGAATTTTTTTTAATTTAATTTAAAAATTTAAGTTTAAGCTCTCAGTAAAACTTGAATGAATGTAAAAGTATTTCAAAATAAAAGATATTATATTTGTTGGCTACTCAATACAATAATATAAAATATGGATTTTTAAAACATGACCGTTTTGGCTCCGAATGGAGTCTGATTGATAAAATGATAATCGATTTGGCAAAAAAGTTGTTGGCAACGGCGAGATTCGAACTCGCGCCTCCGAAGAGACTGGTGCCTTAAACCAGCGCCTTAGACCGCTCGGCCACGTTACCCCATATTTGAGGCGCCGGTTTTCGCCGAATCCGAACTGCTTTCCACCCACAATTTCTCACGGAAATAGAATACCGTTTTGGCTTTTTCTGCTATCGCATTTATTTAAGGAGAAATCTATCAAAATTAAACAATTCCTATGCAAACTGGACGTAAATGTTCGTAATCAATGTTGAACTCTTTTGAAGTGTTTTGTTACAAATGCATGCTTTCCTCACATGTTCATGTGAAAATTTCATCTTATCTATGTGGTTGCTATCAGCTGTGTCACCAATTAAGGTACAGTCTTTTACGGTAATAATAGCATAAGGTAGTAAACTGAAACTGAAAAAATGTAAACAACACTATATTGATAGACTAAATCATATTTTATTTTGAATTTGTGGCACGCTTGTTTATTGTGATATTTTATTTATTTTTATTATGTATTGACGACACGTATATATATATACAAAGAACGCAGATTCAGATTTTACTGTTTCGATGCAAGAAAAAAAATGTTGATTACGATGCCTCGTGTATGGGATAAAGAAGCGATTAGCCGAAAGAGCATAATAAGAAGAAATAGAGACCAATAAAAGTGCTGCGAATATCATTCGAACACATTCGATTTAAATCACAGTGATTGGTGTGTGTGTGTGTTTTTTTTAATTCGCGTATTCGTATGTGTCTCCCGAGCCGAATGTTTTGTACACATAGTTAAATGTGATGCGATTGCAATAAAGTGCAATATAACCACCAAAGCGCCAATTGGGTGATCGTTTGTGTCTTGTTTCGTTTCTTTATACACTTTTGTTCGGTTAGCCGATTCTCTTTTTTTGTTGTTTCGATTGAGTCGAAACATTTGATTTATTTACATTTTATGTGTTATGAATGTTCGTATGCGCCAGCGCTGTTTGCGATGATTGCGTGATCGCAACCACCGGCTTAACAGCAACGAGTATAAGAGAAACACCGTTGGCTCCAATTGAATCAGTTGAAAAAGTGACATGAAATTGATCGCATCAATTTTACTTAATTTTTAACTTTGTTTTGAATGTGTTTTGCGCAAAAGCATTTCCAACGTTCAGATTTAGCTCATTTTATGTACAACACAAGTATTCCACCAAAATAGAATCGAAAATGTTAGTATTATTTTTTCTCTCTCTCTCTCGATAAAAGCTATTTATTGTTGTTCATTTTTTTTTCAATTAAAACTAAAATGTTTAAAAAAAAAATATAAATGAGAAAAAAATTTGCTAAACATAAATCTCAAACCATTTTATTCTGCAGGCATTTTGGAAGATTATCAAGTATTTCTTGGATGAAAAAATGGTTGCTAGTTATCGTGCTGTTTAGTGTGATTACGTCGTTGTGGGCCCAACCAGTGAAAGTGAAGGATGGCATCAGTGGATTTGGTCTGAGGAAAACATGCGGACGCGATTTGGTAGCAAGAGTTGATCGGATATGTCAAAGTCGTGGCGGCCATATGACATACACAGACACTTCTCGTCGATCTCGTCGAATTCGTCGTGGCATCGTTGCCGAATGCTGTACAAATAAATGTGCTGATCATCATCTGTACGCATACTGTTCGAATGACAAATATAATACTAAATCAAGTGAATCGATCGAATCACCCGCTTGGCCGAATGACATTTTGGAAGTGGCCGATTCTCAAGTAAAGCCAATTTTACAAGAGGTTAATTCTGGAATGAATGCAGAAATGATTACCGAATCGCTGCCGCTTAGTGATGGTGAAGTTACCTCAGAAAATCCAAGATACCATGATGTTTTAGTGAATGGCAATGTTGACACAAAACTTGTCGATCGTATTATAAAAACATTGCCACGTAATTTTAACGAGTATCAAGTTGGAACCGTTCCCCCAGAATACCAATTACCTGTCTCGGTAAAAATGTCTCGTTATATACCATCACGAGTTCGCATCAACTCAAATTATTATTGAGAAAAAAAACGGATAATTAAATCGCTGCCTCATTCATATTTTGCGTGATTCAATCCATCTTCATCGAGTAAAAGGCTGTGTGTGTGTTTGCTAACATACCAAGCACCGAAATCACTTTCATTCTTCGAACATACCCAAGTTTTGTGATATTCATTTTAAGTTACATTCTCTTTATTTAAATCCATTATTTACGTGATATTTATTGATAAGAATAAAGCAGAGACAAATTGAAATAAACATTTAATGGACCATCGATCAAAGAAGTAATAATCTAGTCGCTCGTCATTGCATAGAAAAACAAATTCCACTCATTTATTATCAAATTGAACGAAAAACATTCAGAAGCTGTTTCGTTCTTTTGAAGCAGCCAATCTCTGCCACGATTCAATTTTAAAGAAAAAAAAATGTTCTCAAATTCGCCAAATGCGCTCAAGTTATTACATTATAATTGATCGCACGTAAATACCATGTAAAATATAGACTTAATACGAATTCGTTTTAATTTATGTTCCAATTTATTTGTTTGACTAAGATTTAGCAAAAAATATTTTTGTTTGTAATGAAAAATAAAAGAAAATACAAATCACTGTTACATTAAATCTTTAACATTTTGTCTATTTTTTGCTGTTTATTTGAAAAAGTCAAAAGTTTTTTCTTCAATTATCTAGGTGTTATTCTTGGCCACAATCATCCAAAAAGGTGAAAATGTCGCAAAAGTTACACGAAATCTGCAAATTTCTAACCTACTTATCTTCGTACGATGGACAAAATGTTTGGTAATTTTATTAAGTTCATCAAAGTAAATTTTTGTCGCCAAAGGAATTTGGTCTGATTTCTCATTTCGATTCAATCATTTGTTCTTCCTGCTTCTTCGTTTGATTTCAATTTCAATTGAATTTTGAAAATGTAACGCCATCTCCACTCTCAATCGTCAATCACAATTCCGGCAAGACACAAGACTCATAACATTTGATAAGTACGCGTGAATGTGTATTTGTGTGTATGTTTCAATGCATTTTGACAGATGACACGTAGCGACTATAGCTGATTTGTACATTTATACTTTTGCGAAACAACTCGACGGGAAAGAAATTTCAATTTTTGTTAAGAAATAAAATCGCTGTTTACAATTCTTTTAGTTTTTCTGTGTCGTTAAGTTTCATTTTTCGAAACACTTACAACATTGTGAAAATTATTTGGTGTTTATTATAATTTGGTACGTGTAGTTTCCATACGATATATTCCACGACGTCTTCCTGTGTCGAAACCCAGTGACGACCCACCGAAAAGAGTGTACACAGTTTCTTGTCGATTTTTAAATATTTTGCTTTTGTTTTTCTTTCGATTTAATTTCAGTATTTGAAAGAGCAGATTTAATAGCAAAAATGGCACTCTCCGAATCTCAGTGTTATACCATCATAAATACACCCGAATTATCGGATGTTTTCAATGAAATGAAAATTAAGAAAGATTTGGGTAAGTACGTGTATGTGTGCTTCAAAAAAAAAGATTTTCTTCATCTTTGTTATTTAATTGAATTAAATCCATAAATACGGTTCTCTTTAATGCCAACCTAAAAAAAACTAAACTTTTCGCATTCAACAGAGCAAGGCGATGAAAATGTACAAATCGATACGTTGAAGAAAGTGATTAAGCTATTGTTGAATGGTGAACGTTTGCCTGGCTTATTGATGACCATCATTCGATTTGTGATGCCATCACAAAATCATACTATCAAAAAGTTGTTGCTCATTTTCTGGGAGATTGTACCAAAAACAACGCCCGATGGCAAATTGATGCAAGAAATGATTCTCGTGTGCGATGCATACCGAAAGGTTGGTACTATTTTGACGTGGAATACCACGTCTCGTTTTTTTTTATTTCAAATTTGTCTAAAATAAGATTTTATTGTTCAGGATTTGCAACATCCAAATGAATTTCTGCGTGGATCGACGTTGCGATTTTTGTGCAAATTGAAAGAGCCTGAATTGCTTGAGCCACTCATGCCGGTGATTCGTGATTGTTTGGAGCATCGTCATTCGTATGTGCGTCGTAATGCTGTCCTTGCTATTTTCACCATTTACAAAAATTTCGAATGGTTGGTACCGGATGGACCCGAACTCATTGCCAACTTCCTTGATACACAACAAGATATGTCATGCAAACGTAATGCATTCTTAATGTTATTGCATGCCGATCAAGATCGTGCACTGAACTATTTGGCATCGTGCCTAGATCAAGTCAATAATTTTGGTGACATTCTGCAATTGGTTATTGTGGAATTGATCTACAAGGTAAGCGTCGAAGTGTAAATAAGAAGTTTTGAGCGTACCGTAAAGTAAATGTATTTCCGTTTTTCAGGTGTGTCATGCAAATCCAAATGAACGTTCTCGATTCATTCGTTGCATTTATAATTTGCTCAATTCATCGTCGAATGCTGTTCGATACGAAGCGGCCGGTACATTGATTACATTGTCAACCGCTCCAACGGCCATCAAAGCAGCGGCCAGCTGTTACATCGAACTCATCATCAAAGAAAGCGACAATAATGTTAAGTTGATCGTTTTGGATCGTTTGATTGGAATCAAAGAGAATGAAAATACCGAACGTGTTATGCAAGATTTAGTTATGGATATTTTACGTGTGCTGGCCGCACCCGATATTGAGGTACGACGTAAAACATTAAACTTGGCCATGGACTTGGTATCGTCGAGAAACATTGAAGAGATGGTACTCGTTTTGAAGAAGGAAATTTCCAAAACGCACAACGTCGAACATGAAGACACCGGAAAATATCGACAATTACTTGTTCGCACATTGCACAGTTGTTGCATTCGTGTAAGTTAGGACTTTTGTCTCCTTCAATCGTACCAATAATTTTTTAATGGTTTTTTTTTTCTTTCAAAACAAATTCCAGTTCCCAGATGTTGCAGCAACTGTTATTCCAGTTTTATCCGAATTCCTATCCGATACAAATGAACAAGCTGCTACAGATGTGCTTGTTTTCATTCGCGAAGCCATTCAAAAATTTCCAAATTTGCGTGCATTGATTACGGAGAAATTGATCGAAACATTCCCATCGGTTCGTTCGGTGAAAGTTCATCGTGCCGCCTTATGGATTCTTGGCGAATACATCAATAGCAGCAAAGAAATTTTGGAAGTGATCGATGTGGTGAATCAAACCATTGGCGAAATTCCAATTGTCGAGGCCGAACAGCGTAAATTGGCTGGCGAAGAAGAACAAGACGATCCAAATAAACCAGCCAATTCAACTGCATCGGCAAGCACGAAAGTCACTTCGGATGGCACCTATGCCACTCAAAGTGCATTCAGTGTTGCACCGTGAGTATTTCCTAACGCATTTTTACATTTCCGATTTTCACCGTTTTTCCTTGCTTCACACAGAGTTGCGAAGAAAGAAGAGCGACCACCATTGCGTCAATATTTGATGGACGGAGATTTCTTTGTGGCAACAACATTAGCTACAACATTCACCAAATTGGCATTGAAGTATATCGAATTGGAGAAGGATGCATCAAAGCAAAACCATGTATGTGCTTCAATAATGCTAACCTTGAGCGCAATATTGCATTTGGGTCGATCGGGCTTTTCGTCCAAACCAATCACAAATGATGATGCTGATCGTATATTCGTATGCTTGCGTACATTGAGCGAACGTTCGCCGGAAATTGTAGAAATATTCAAGGTCTTGTGCCGTGATGCATTGGCCAAAATGCTTGAAGCACATCAAACGGAAGAGCAACAAATGATTAAGGATAAACAACAGAAAGCGGTTAAGATTCAAGCCGATGATCCAATTACATTCTCACAGCTGTCGAGCGGCAAGGATAGCTTTTTGGGTGAAAATGTGTTCGAATCAAGTTTGAATCAAGCATTGGCCGGCACAAAATCTACTTCAATTGTTGATGTTGCATCGCCAAATAGTAAATTGAACAAAGTCACTCAATTGACTGGTTTCTCGGATCCAGTTTATGCTGAGGCTTATGTGCATGTCAATCAATATGATATCGTTTTGGATGTATTGGTGGTGAATCAAACCAGTGATACATTGCAAAATTGTACATTGGAATTGGCCACATTGGGCGACTTGAAACTGGTCGAACGACCACATCCAGTGGTTTTGGCACCACACGATTTTTGCAACATCAAAGCCAATGTTAAGGTTTCTTCCACTGAAAACGGAATTATTTTTGGCAATATTGGTGAGTTTTGCACGGGACATTTTTTAACTATTTCAATCATTTGCTTAATATCACATTTCCTATTACAGTTTACGACACCACAACCACATCAAATGTCGTTGTTTTGAACACGATACACATTGACATCATGGATTATATTATGCCAGCCTCATGCACTGACACCGAATTCCGTCAAATGTGGCAAGATTTCGAATGGGAAAACAAAGTGTCGGTCAACACAACATTAACCGATTTGCACGAGTATTTGAAACATTTACTAAAATCGACCAACATGAAATGCTTGACACCAGAGAAAGCATTGTCTGGCCAATGCGGTTTTATGGCTGCCAATATGTATGCACGCTCGATTTTCGGTGAAGATGCATTGGCCAATTTGAGTATTGAGAAACCATTGGATGATCCAAACGCTGCGGTAACCGGACACATTCGCATCAGAGCCAAGAGCCAAGTAATGTTCAATTTGTTTTATCATTTTATTTTTATGAATTTTACACATTTATTTTTCGTTTTTTTAGGGTATGGCATTGAGCCTAGGCGATAAAATCAATTCAACGCAGAAAGCAATTCCACAAAAGACCGTCGTTGCCGCCTAATGATGTGGTTATCTATTCGTTGATAATTGTGTTTTTTCCGAAAGAAATATTTCGAATCATTTAGTCTTATTGCATTAGATTCATTGAATCGATTAGAATTTAAGAATGAAATTTATTATTATGAAGTATATATGTTCGCATTCCCAATAAAATGAATAAAAAATGCCACTATGTATGAATATCTGATAAATAAATGAATAAAGTGAGCTAATTTACATCGTATTTTTAATGATAATACAATGTCTTCGTAAAAACCACCAGAAGACTCTCAGGAAAATGTAACCAAATTTGAGAAAAATATATAATAGGTGAAATTTCAAACTTTCTGGCCCACCAGCGAATCAAGATGAAGGGGAATTTACATTTTTTAGTGGAAACCGGTCTTGAGACATATGAATTTTAGAAAATTTATTGAAGTCAAAACAAATAATAATGATTATGAATCATCAAGAAAAGTTTGCAACTTATTTGACTCTGTGTTTTTGCCAGCAATTCGTGGCATCGGCATTATGTTTGCATATATCGGATCGATTTATTGTTATCGGTAACTATTTTGGAAATTGTGCGAAACCTGGGGAATGTTGGATACGTATTGGCTACTTTCGATACAATAACAGTTTCTCGTAAATAAAACGTAGTAAGAACTAAAAATACTACGTCTTTTTTGGTTCAGGAAAGTCTAGTTTTAAGATCTGTTCTGCATTTATTTTTAAAATTGTTATTGAAATGTCTTGCATATTATTTTACAAAATTAACACTACCGTCCTGCTTTTGTTGAAAACTCCATGAATAAATAATAAATTTAAGATCGTCCATAGTTGCCATAGTCAAAATTAGCTCGATATCCTTTTTCAGTATATGCAGATGAAGTATCTTTTTTAACTTCTGGACCTGTTTGACAGTTTACGCAACTGCTGACCATATTTTTGATTGCAGTACCAACACCTGAAGAGCTTTTCTTGTCCTTTTTTTGTTTTTCAATGTTATTCTTGTCGTTTTTTTGTTGTTTAATGTTATCGCCAGCTTCAACGCTTGAAATAATGAGCTGTTGCAAAGAAAAGAAAATTCTTGTTAAAATTCAAAGTTTTTGATAATATGATCCAGATAATCGGTATAATTTATGGCAATTTACCTCGGAAACAATGATCGCAACCAAAAATGATATCAATAATTTTCTGTTCAACATTTTCTTTCTTTTTTATGAAAAATGTGATGGAGCTACTAATTGTTATTTTATTACTGATAATTTGGAACAAATGCTCTTAGTTTATATACATTTATTAATCACAAATTTAATTTTTTGTAAACACCTGGATAATTTGAAATATTTTATTTGCATCATTAAGACGTTTTTTCCACTGATTCAGTAATATTTATGGAATTTCATGAAACATTTGAAGTTTTTTCATTCATTACTTGGATGTCACGATGATTAATAACGGTGACAGTGAAATAGAATAGAGTATAATAAAATTTAAAATCTAGAATGAGGCTGAAACAAACAATTTTGTAAAAATTACTTTGTCATTGTCTTGCAATTTATTTAAAAAAAAAAACCAAAATAATTATTGTTATTGACAACTTTTAGAAGAATTTGGTTTTGTGTAAAATAAATATGTACCAGCTGCCCGAAAATATCCCTTTTGTCAATATTGAGTCAATATAATGTCTGAATAGATTAAATTTCAATCAAATACTTCTTATGGTGGATTTGTAGAAAACAATATTTTTATTCAAAATATCAGTATTGATAATTACATTTTGATCGAAAATTCAGGTATTATTGAATATTTGGGAAGAAAATCTGACATCTTAAACTGGAGAATTAGGGTCAAAAGGTTGGAACCACGGTACAAAATGTCTCTGGAATTGGATGTTAAATTAAAATTAGGAATGGTCATTGGTCAAATTAACTTTTATAATTAGTAAATCCCTTAATATTATTGTGCAGCATGCGAAATCCGATATTTTTGCGGATAAATGTATGCACAATTACTGCTAAATAGCTAACATTTGAAATGAACTACCTCGGTGTCAGGAGAGTTATGTGCACGACACCTGGGACAAGCACGTGTTTGGTTGGCCTTATTGTTTTCTTTAGTCCATTGATGATCACATTTCTTGCATTGATAGACGCAATACCAGGTTTCGCCGTTTTTATTAGGCATATCGTTGGTCAATTATTGTGATATGATTTTTGTACAATAATTTTTTTCAACTCGCTCTCTTCGAAATAAAACTCGACTGAAATGTTCTTGAACAACACCTATGTCATGATTTTCTGTCTTAAGTCCGAAAAGTGCTGACAAACCTTTTACACCGAGCAAAAATAATTGCAATATTTTTGTACAAATATTTACTTAAATCAGTCAAAGATATCTTGATTGGATTCAGTCGATGAAAATTATAAAAACAATTGGTTGGTTTATAAATATATAATTACGTATCAATCAAAATAATATCATCAAAACAAATGCGATTTGACTGATACAGTAAACTCTTTGGCTGCATCGATATGCGTTTTAATGAGAATTGAAAAATTTTTGAAATATTCTACAAAATCAGCGTTTTATTGTCCAACTTATATCATGAACCATTTTTTTAATAAATGAAAGATTTATTTCAATAGCCCCGGAAACAATGATTGCAACCAAAAATGATACCAACAATTTTCTGTTCAACATTTTCTTAGTCAAAGAATCAATTTTGAAGTTACATTTGAAGTTTTTTCATTCACTTCTTAGATGTCACAATGGATAATAAAGATGTATTCTTTATTATTGCTATACATTTTAGACATAAAAAGTACTTTTGTAATGATTGGACCTCAGTTTTTTGCTTCTGCATTCATTCGCAATAAGGAATAAACGAAAATAAAATGAAAATGCCATAACATAGCAAATCTTAAACTCACATTTGTTTACAAATAAAATAACTTGATATTCTGTACCTTCAAAATTGAAGTTCATATCAAGCGGGCTTCACCAATTCGCCGTAGTTTGTTCAAATATTTTCGCCATTTCACTAAAATATACATAGTGAATAGTTGGAAAACCGAGCGATAGGGCGGCGCCCTAAGGGTCCTTTCGAATGCTGTTTTTATTTCATCATCTGATGAAAATATTTATTATTGGTTTTGGAAACATTCGACGCAGTACATAATCACATCAAATTTGTCAAACAGAAAATATTTTTGCGAATTTCATTATTTTGTGCTATTCTACAGTGGAAGCTTCAAATTCTTTGAAAATTATTTTAAATCTTGTAAGTATAATTTGTGTTTTTAAAGTGATCTTGATTGTTTGTTCGTACGTTATAACTATAGAATTTGATTTTTTTTTTGTTTAATTTGATTCATAAGAGTAAATAGAAATTAGTGCAGTTTTCTTTAGAAGTAAATGATTTTCCAACAAATAAAATATAACTTTACGCACAAAAAATACTGAAAATTGTGATAAGGCACACAAAATTCATATAAACTACGTAAACAAAGAAATGAGTCATCGATTTTTTTTCATTGAGAAATTTGTTTGCCATCAATATTTATTTTTTCTTATTGGTGTTTACATTAAAAAATAAATAAGTAACGATATGCTCTTGTTTTTCATCAGGTGGTATTTTTCACACTGGCACAAAGATTGCGTCTTCAATATCCCATCTTTCAAGTATTGCGGAAATCGATTTGGAACGTGCATCGATTTGGTGATTCAGCAAGATCCGCTTAAGCCTGATCAATAAATACTGACGCAACTGATAGACTGAATCTAAAACGGAAAGAGTTGATTATAGCTTCCTGGTAGGTCCAACATAAAGTATGGGAGCCATCGTGGAAAATGAACGTGATGTGGCTAAATCGTATCTGTTAATACTGACTGATTTAACAGATAACAGAATGATACATACACTAACAATGTTAGCTGCTGAAAACATCAAATATGGTCAAACGATAGCTAGTACAATTGTTCAACGCTTGGATGAGGTTTTTATTTAAAAGATTGATTACTATGGATTAATTTAGCAAAGTCAATTTCATTTACTTATTTAATACATGAAAAAAACATATCTGTGATAAAATTTCTCTGTGATTAAAATAAATATAGTAGTTCCACGAAATGTGCCTTGCAAAAGACTAAAAAAATAATTAGATATATAAGTCAGAATTGAAAAGACAAAATGAAAAAAAAATATCACAAAATATGAAAAGAATAAATATCTTTTGAAGGAAAACAAAAAAAAAAAACACTTTTATTTCTACATATATCTCTATTTTTCAGTTTTAATTCAAATCGAATATTAATCAATAAATATTGCATCTTTTTCACAGGTTGAGCCTCATATAAAACTTCCACATTTATATTTGATTGATTCAATTGTTAAGAACATTCGCGGCATTTACATTGATTATTTTAGCAAATCTATAGCAAGAATTTTTGTTGAAGTATTTGAAATGGTAAATAACGGCAATTTTGGAGACGTTTTAAAACAAGTTTGTGTAGAATTGTAGTTTCCGAATAATTTTTTTTTACATTTTCAAGCAAAATTTGTAACAACCAATTTCTTCACTTTAATTACGATTAACCTTGTCTGTAATTGAACTGAATGCGTTAAGATTAAATTTTCTTCCATTTATTTTGTTAATAGGTCAATGAAAGTACTCGTGAGAAATTGCTGAAACTACGACAAACATGGAATGGTATCTTCCTTCGAGCCGAGCTGAATAGACTGGATTCGAAATTGAAGTGGCCAATTCGTAAAAGACAACAAGATACAAATTGTATTGCAAATGAACATAAAGTAAAAAAGATGAAATCAGAAAAAGCCGATTTGTAAGTTATCGAGTCTCTTGTGTTGATATACAAAGCATTTACATTATATATTTTTTTATTTAGGTTAATGTCTAAGGCTGATGTCGATATGAGAATTCTACAATCAACATTTAATGTTCCGCCAACTGAGCAATTACAGAAGAAGCAAATTGGTAAAAAAATACTGAACGAAGGAAATTTGAAGCAAAAACTCTGGAATCCATACAAACAGAATCCTCAAAAATTCAGTTCGGTTACCGAACGACATAAGGAACTGGATAAGAAAACTGGCGGACAAGTAATTTCTCCAATCAATGGTCAACGTGTCTTAAATCCAGTAGCCATTTCTTCGTCAATGAATGGTAAATGGCAAGAAACTACTGCAAAACATCGACCGAGTAAATCAGAATTTAACAAAACTTCAAGCGAGTTAAACGTCTCCGATTTATTTCAAAAGCTCTTGAAATTTAGTATGATTAAAAGTCTGGAAGAAAAACTGTCACTAAGTGATAATAGTTCACTGAAGAAACCGAATCCATCTGCTATACGCACACTGTATTCAGGATGGCAATGCAGCTCTTGTGGCATTCGTTTCCCAATCACAGAAAAAACCACTCATCATGAGCACTTGGATTGGCATTTTCGACAGAATCGGCGAGAAAAACAAGCATCGGCCTGTCATAATTGGTATTTTTCGATTGATGACTGGTTGCAGTCTGATCAATCGGAAAATGTTGATGAAAAGAAAACTGCAGCGATGAAAGAGAAAAATCCTGATGAACCAAAATGCGTTGCAAATCATGACGAAGTTAAAAAAAATTGCGATATGTGTGGCGATGCTTTCGTACTATTCTACGATAACGACGATGATGAATGGTATTTTCATAATGCTATTCGCGTTGGTCAACGTGTTTATCATCCCCTTTGCCATGAGGATTTGAATAAGGTAAAGAATTAACATAAAAACTGATTTAGCTTTATCACATGTTTTGGAAATGTTTATTACGGTGGGCGCTGGTATCGAAGATTTTATGTTGAAGATTCAACGAATACGACATCTATTAAAATACATAAAGATTTTTGTTACTAAAGAACACACTGACTCTGATTTTGTGTGTCCGTTTGTATTGCAAATTCTGCACTCAGTCGTCAACCGTAGCTGCTTGTGCAAAATTTACAACACAAACGCATACACAGAATCGGTGTCAGTACTAATACGTTTGCAATACAGCTATATAGTTCGCTAGAGCTGTGTCAAGACAGCAGTAGCAACGAAAATCTTTATTGTCTTTAATAGGTGGCGTATTGTTGAATTTTCAACAAATATTCCCATACAAAAAGTGCTTCACCAGCGCCCACCGGTTTATTATGTTTTTTAACCAGAGTGCTGCTGAACTAAAAGAAGAGCTGGTGATTGAAAATATTCCGACTTCTAGTGATCTTGAAATTCTGGATTCACACATTCCTAATATCAAATTAGATGTTTATGGAAGGCGTTCTTTTGAAGAAATTGGTACGAATATTGTTGAATTCAACATTCATTTGAATTAATCAATTTCACACAAATGAACAATTCAAAACACATAATTTCACTTAATTTAAAATTCTGTTTTTTTTTTTCAGATGATTCACCCACTGGAAAGCAAACAATATTGAATGATACTAGAAATATTGTACACCAAAAAATTGTACTTTTTGATCAAAATAAGATGAATAAAGTTTCATCAAGCTCTAACAAAAGTGTTGTTGAAATTTAGTTCTTAAAAATAGGTTCATTTAGTTTAATTAGACAGGTATGCTCCAAAAATTATAGGTTCCGGAAAATTAGGTCCAACTGAACAAGGTGCAGTGACATAGGAATATTTAAAAATGTAGCAAGTGGCTACAATTGGATAAAATTCCAACAATTGGTATACTTGGATATCAAATCAAATACGTTCATCAATTTTTAGTAACTAGATCTAGATAAGTATCTAGAGTAAGTACTCCAAAAATCCCATTTGATTTACATAAAGACAAAATCAATAAAGGCAGTCGCCAATTAAACATAAAAAACACAAAATTGTTCTCATTCCATAGATGTGCTTATTAAATTATTTTTAATTAGACTAAACAGAAAGTTTATTAAATATTATAATAATCAAAATAAAATGATCAATAAAGAACGGATTCAATTGTGCCATGTATAGCCGGATTGAAACCTCTTTTTAATTCAATGACTTATTTCATTTCAAATGCGGCTTTGAAACAAGTAATAAAAAATAATTGCCAAATCGAAAAAAAATTGAAAT